TCGAGTAACTCGAAGAGTGAGGACCCTTAACCCTTTAACTCACAAGATCTGATTATGAATTCTCCCTTCTCGCTGCTACACATTTCCTTGCAAATAAGTCACAGAAATTTGGTGTTAGATCAGGACCAAAGTATATCTGGTAAAAATGCCTTATGAAGTTCAACGCAAAATCCCATATTTTCCGAAAGGGGTATTGTTTCCCTTCTGAAATAAGCACAAAATCGAAGTCACATGGGAATTATTCACAATTACCTTTTGTTTTTGATGTTCTTTAAACATCAGAAAGTTTATTTCTGGGGGGTTCCTGCATGTTATCACTGATTGTGCTCGTAAAATGCTAGAAAGTTGTTCACTAGAAAGCCAAAAAGTTTCTTACAAGTTGCCAAAAATGAAAAACTTTAAATGGTAAACGGTAAATGTTAGTTAAAAGCTTTATTTATCGTTCTTCATAATGATTGTTAACATCGATAGCTTGAAACTTAGCAAATAGTGGCGAATTCGAAATTTAAGGATAATCTAAGTCTAACGGAACAAATGATATTAGATAAGGACAGGAGTCCATTGTTACTGATAAGAATCGAAATAGGGCAGCGAAACGTTGTCAACTGACAGCTTGTGTTCAAAAGGCTGATAGACCTTCAAATAATTCGCATAAAGTAAAGTTTTCAATAAAATTGTTGACTTCTTCGTGCTTGATATGTGCGCTTCGTACATAAAAACCCATATTTTGCCTTAAAATTGCTCAGAATGACTAAAATTGTTCCAGGTTACTAGAACCGCAAAAAGTTGCTCCAAACGCGGAAAGTTGCTCGAAAGCCGTCGGGCACAATCGAGACTGGGTTGAACACTGCCCAACAAAATGCAACCACATTTACATATTCCAGGCCTATTTTAAAGAAAGAGAGATTTCTTCTCGCGCATTTATGTATCTTTTTTCATTTCATTCCGATTTTATACTAAAGTTCGGATATAACGCGCGTTGTCATTGGTTGAAAGAGCGTGCTCTATGAGAGTATAGAGCATAGAGCTGAGCTAAAGCTGTCACGCCATCTGCCAAATTGTACCATGTTCGACCTTTTCCGGGACTTATTTTTAGCTTTATTCCGATAATTGAAAGTGAAATTTCGGAACAAGCGAGCCGGCAAGTAGTAAAAAAATCAAATAAAGGTTTGTAAACATACCAGGCGCCGTAATTTACGTTATTAAAACGTGAGCAAATACGAAAATCCTCAAAGGAAAAACAAAATAGACATTCCGAGTTTTAAAGATTGATTCATGCTAAGTTAGATTGCAAGCTTACGTACGAAAATAAAAATCAAACACAGCCAACACTCGTATAGTACATAAAGTTCAGAGTTCAAAAACAAAACAGAACAAAACAGAAATGATGAAAAATATACCGGTAACCAAACTGGCATAACTGTGAAAATTCATTCTAATCATGACGGTGTCTAACGAATATGATCATGCTGAATTCCATCGCGACTCGCTCATCATGGCGATCTCCGGTCATCACAGTAAAGCAAGCCTCAGAAAATACATCGGCCGCCCTTCGAGTGAAAAAATAAGAGCTTGCTCTGATATCCCTTCCGATGCGTTGAGTGGAAAGTCACATCTGTCATTGCAGCCGAGTTTTGCCACGCTGTCATCCCGAGCGATCTTCATGTTCCGGTGAATTCGTGAATTCTCGTGTTTTTCCCTACACTGCTTTCGTGCTCTAGCCGCTTCCTGCGTGCTTTATAACAGAACAGAGCACAGTCAAGGCTTCTCTATTTGTTAACTAAAATCCCATCGTTTGGAAAGCTACAAAGCATTATTGAAATAATTAACCAAAAAACTCTAC